AAGCAATATAGGTTTCCATATATTGCTTATCACCTCGCCCTGCTGGCGAGGTGATCGTCAATCACCTCGCCATCATGAGGTCACCCCCCCCTCAGGTCACCCCCCCCCATAGGACCCCATTGATTACACTGTGTACTACAGCAGGAGCAAAGCCATTCAGTGTTTTGTTAGTGTCTAGCCGTCGGGTTTGGCGGTACGTCAAACCCAACGGCACGTGGCTTCGCCCGGACATTCGTCCGGACATTCGTCCGGACGTTTGTCCGTAAGACAGTTGAAGGAACCCACCTTTAATAGGACACGGATTTATCAGTGTCTGGGCACGTGCCGTCGCGTGCAGGTCACAATCTCCGGGCTGCGCCCGGAGATTGTGACTTATGACAGTTACAACGAGTAATGCCTGGGCCCTTACCCCGGTTGGGGCTCAGGCCTTGGTTTTATACAGCACTTTTTTGGACACTCAAAGACGGTTTACATGAATGATGCACTTCCCATAAACAGTGGTGATAAACTTCTACTGTACCCACAGCTGCCCTGGGGCACACTGACAGGAGCGTGCCAACCAGTACGTGCGACCGGCCCCTCCCACCACCACCAACCATTCACACACATGGTATTTCACATGTTTTTTGAGTGCCCGTGATTTGTCCCTATCAAATAAGTAAAAACATTAAAATAAATAGATCATCACAGCCATATATCGAGGTCAGACGTGTGCGATGTCTTCTTGAAGTCCCAATTTGAATCTTTTAGCGTGGTTCTTGTTTCAGGCTTGACTCTAGACAAAGCAAGACAAGTTAGAACACAAATACTAGAACAGATCGTGGCCCAGATTCATTAGAAACAGACGTCAGCCCTGGAGATGCGGAGTCCCAATGTGTTTGTGCAATTATGTGCTTTCTGGATTTGTTGTAACCCACAATTGTTGTTACTAAACTGAGAGAATTAGGGGGTTGTTAATTAAACTACACAATGCTGTTGCTGTAATTATCAGACACTATTAGAAGAGGATAAGTAGACGTGTGGATGGGAGGCTGCTGCTCGTGAGGCATTCTTCCACACCACTTTTCAGATCATCATTCGCAGACACAGGATTTACAGATGATGGTGTGAACGAGACGCAACGGATGAAAACTAAATATGTGACTTTGGATTGCTACGATTCCAAATGAAAGGATTAGTTTGTTTAAAGGAGCGATCAAACACAAACATTTTTGATTGGTCACTTGGACAAATAGGGTTGACGTTTTCTCTCTTTCTATTATTGCCACTTTTTTACTGGACATAATTATATCCTGCGCAGGCTATATCTTTAACCTTTAACATGTTGCACACTTTTGTTTTTTGGCACAATCCGGGTGATTCAATCAGAGAATCAAGCCGATGGGTTATTTGGGTTGCCAGTTTAAATGTCTCCGCGGTGACCTTTAAAGTGTGAGGCGTACATTGGAGAGCTTTAATTATACCAACGCATAAGTCTCAACAGAAAAATGACAAAACAGAATTGTGGGACATATATTTTATACATGAGTGAAAATCGTCAATTCTCACATTTCCATTTAGAACTCAAAATGACTGACTTCCTGTTCGTCGGGAGTCATGGCCATAATCACTTTTTCTTGATGAATATGTGCCAAACTTCACGGCAAAGTTGAAGTCATGCCGGCTCTGTATTTGACAAAAACAAGGACAAAAATATTTTGTCAATATTTTGTCTTTTTGTGTAGTTAGTCACTTTAAGAACTGAATTTCTGAGCATGTCCAGGAGGTCTAAAGAAATACTGAAAATGTAGAATAAAAATAAATAATATGTTTCCTTGATGCTGTCGAAGGGGCGGGGCCTAAAATGAAACAGTTTATAGACTTACTGGCTACATACCGGAGCCTACACAGGACTTTTTGTTGTGTAATGTGTTTTTATGTATGACTTTCTGGTATGAACCTTTTACTCTTGTGTCCGAAATAATGTATTGAATGAATGAAAACAACAACATGGATTGTAAAACTGTTTTGACAGTGCATAAAGTCAGGCTGAAATCCAGAGGTTGCCTATATTGGTTGAGCAGTAGTTGGCTGGATGACACTGGGAACTTGTGTTTTTGATCTCAAAGACGGCAATGTGCCCAGAGGCCTCAGTTTGGACATTACTTCACTTTAACATTGTTTTAGCTCAATGTAAACATTTCATATGAAGCATGTGTCTAATAACTTACCATTACTGACCATTGTTAAAACTGCCTTAGCTACACACCCTAAATCGCCATGTAATCGCTATAAGTAGCTTTCAAAAATAAAAATTCCATAAATAAAAGTAATAACTGTACCCAAAATCACTGGGCACAGTAAGTAATTAGTAAGTAATCTTTTATTTATATACCGCCTTTTCACTGCAGATCTGAGTCTCAAAGCGGTTTACAATTGTTAATTTTTGGGCATTTGTCTCTCACTCCACACAGAGATGGGAGCGGGGTCGCCAGTACAGGAGGCGCATGCTAGAACTATTGGACATATTTTTAGTGGTAGGGGAAACCGGAGTACCCGGAGGAAACCTACGCAGACACGGGGAGAACATGAAAACTCCACTCAGAAAGGCCCTGGTCCGACCGGGATTCGAACCCAGGACCTTCTTGCTGAGAGGCGAGAGTGCTATCCACTCAGCCCGGTGCGGACTAGGGTTTTTGATTTTCTGTCTTTATGTACTGTATGTGCATATTGCCTTGTATGTAATTTTTGTTGTATAACCGTTTGGCAAAGCAAACAGATGATGTGGACCCGCTCGACAAAGTGATTCATCTCAAGGGGCAATCCATAATAAATAAATACATGAATAAATAAAGAGCCACGGAGGTAACAGACGATCATGTTTTATGAAGAGGACAGACTGGTGTTAGGTCTCCTTTAAGAGAACCCTCATGGGACAGAAATGAATGCTTTGTGCGTGTGACAGTGGATGTGAGACTGATGCTGACAGACACCATCAGACTCACAGCGGCGTGTTCCATATCATCCCATTACCTCCACACATTCGTCCACTCTGCTTGTAGCAATCGATACCGCGCCGCTCGTGCTGTAATACAAACACGTGTAGCTAATGTAGCGCTGATTCATGCGGCGCAGTGTCTTACTTAGCCCTCGGCAAGGTAAACAAGCTGCTAATCAAAATAAAATACTCCCACGTTGGAATACTTATGGATTCACAGCAGCAGCAGGTCACGCGATGATGTCGGCCTTCAACACACAACAAGGCTTTTGTTTCTCTTCAAGTTTGCCTTCAGTTCAGTTCAGATCAATTCAATTTGTTTTTCGTATTGCCCTAAATCACAACAGTAGTTATCTCGGAAGACTTTACAAAGTAGTCGATTTGCTAACACAGATCAGAGAATCAACAGGAGATGCAATGGTAGAAAAAATCCCATACAACCATTGGTCCATAAGGGACAGATACCAATGTCAATAAATATTGTTTAAAGCCCTCATCACTGTCCCTAGACCCTCCTGCATCGGAATAACTGCAGAAAAACCCAGTGGGAGAAACCTTGGGGAGGTACACGTTGAGGGAGGGATCCACGGACGGACAGACTGTGGATCCAGGACTAACTAATTCATTGTCAACTTCTTGGGAGGTCAGCAGGTCCACCTCTGACCAGCAGCCTCTCCTCCGCAGTGTTGGGAAGATTGCTTTTCACTGTAACACAATATTGTAAGGCATTCCAAAAAAACTAATGTTCCAGAACTACAGTTACCTTTAAATGGGACTTACTCAAAAGCTGATCTGGAAACTTGGTGTTATTCCCATCATGAAAGACGCTAACAGGAGCCTCGGTCTGTGGGTACAATGCATCTATCTCGGCGTATATCTCTGTGAACTGAATAATGAAGTGCCTGATTCTGGATCGAGGACTTACGGTTCTAAGTGACGGATAGCTGTACAGTTAGTTCTCGCTGATTTGTTTACAGAGATCCACTCTGGATCCACTCGTTCCAATAGAGATGAAATCACCTCTATTCACAAAACGGCTATAATTTCACAGGTTTTGAGTGTTGTATTGTGTATCGCCCAAATTATTATCACACATGTGCTAAGGATGGACTGTGAAAAATGAAGATAAGCGAAAAATAGAACCTTTAAAAATCAGACTACCCTGTTTGCACGGGATTAGTATTACCTGTGGACCTCTGGTAATTTGTGATAATTGCGGAGGACGTCTGGGATCTTAGACCTGAGCAAATGCGCCATGTCTGTAATTTGTAAAGTAATAATTCTGCAGCAAATGACCTCCTGTAATTGTCCAAACACAGACGTCCAGTGATAATACTAATCCAGTGTGAATCTGCATATCAGTGGTTGCTATTGCTGCCTTCCCTACTTTGTGCGTTGTTTTTTTGTCAATATATGGCCCATTTTCATATCTCTTCCCGGCTCGAACGATAGAGGCTGCGGTAGAGATGGCCTTTGCGGTTTGGAAGCTTTTTAGCAGAAAATGGCTCGGCTCCTACACATGGCAAGTGCAATGAGTAACAAAACACCTCTCTTCAGGAAAGGAGACCTGCTGCTGCTTTGTACAGAGCCCAAGGGCCTCGGCTGCTGCTGTCTCTGTGAGGTCTATGCAGAAGTGTAGAGGACAGAACGGGCCAGAGAACTGTAGAGTAGTGAAATCCACATGTGTGTGTTTGTCCTCATGGTCTCTGTGGCTGTGGTCAGACCAAAGACTAAATGAAAGCACAAAACAATGTCCAGAATCACTGTCAAACTTGCTCCTCCTGCTAAAGTTTAAATGTGTGTGTGGAGCTGATCTAGTGTGACGGACCATGTGTGACGGACCATGTGTTTTGACTGGAGAAGAGCGAAGAGGGATAAAGTTATTTTCTGGATTTTTTTTCATAATTTATCTCTCAATGTTGAGGTTTAAACAGTGATGAAAATTACAGGCCTCTCTCTAATGTTTAAAGGGGAGGTCTTGCCCAATTGCTGGCGGCTGAAGGATCCTGAGAAATGGTTTCAAATGGTCATATTTCTGCAGCGTCTCCTTCAGTAAGATATCTCGTACTCATCAGTGCATTATTGACTTGCAGTAGTGAACTCGTTAGCGCATCGCCATCGCGCTCAGCTAATTACAGGCGCAGTAATTGCCGCCCGGCGCATCGAACAGGCGGGCTTTGATGGGACGCGGCCTTTGTCTTCGCTCTTCCATTAAGGACGTGTGATTTCTGTTTGGCTGCGCTTGGAATTTCAAAGCGGTGGCCGGTCTCGTCGCAGCCAGCCGCTCTAATGACCACGGAAAACAAACGCGCGGGGAGTAAAGAGAATATCAAAACAGTGTTGAGACAAACGAGAACCCGCGACAGAAGGCTATTTTCTGGGTCCGTGTCAGATGGGTTGGAGCTGCAGGCGATAATGGAAAATAATGCATGTTTTAAAGTTACAACTTGCGCAAAATTGGCTTTTACGAGCTGGGAAACACGTCCTTCCACTAGAATATAAACATGTCCCCCCCGCCCTTTCTGTATATATGTCACACACTACACATGATCTCTGCATGTCGACGTGTGTTCACAAAGCGCTTGCACATACATATGTAACTGCTATAAATATGTAATCGAGGACTTAAGTATCCGAGACAGATCTGCACAAACATTGACATGACCTACACAGCGGCTAAAAAGAAAAAGAACCGACCATCTGTCATTTTGTAGTAAATAGATAGATTGATATATAGATCACCCATAGGAGATTTTCACAATCTTCCTCCAGTTTGATCAGTAAATCCAGTTTAGATTATAGTCTGTCTTTAGATGTGTGTAATGCATTTTGAGCAGGAATAATTATAGGAGGTGTTTCGCTAGCTGTCTGCAGCCAACTCGGATTCATCCGATTTGATAATAACCTTCATCTTTTATATTCCTAATGACATTTGAAGCACAACATTTGACTTAAAGAAGCCATACCCGATTTATTTTCTAATGAGTTCATAAAATTGCGTATTACTACATACAATTGAAATCTTGAGCTCATTGATTCAGTTTGTGTATGAATTCAGGCCGTAAAAAGTGCTGAGTAGAGACTTTGCGTGACGCTGCTCTCCTCCAATCACAGAACGAGGAGCAGCTCTGATACGAACAGGCTGCATCCTCTAGCGCAGGGGTGTCCAAACCGGTCCAGAAAGGGCCGCTGTGGCTGCAGGTTTTCTATCAGACCTAAAATGAGCAGAGTAGACTCCACCTATTTCCTCAAGAGAGTTCAGTCTTAACCTGAAGATTTGAGGAAATGGGTGGAGTCTGCCCTGCTCCTGCTGGGTCTGATAGAAAACCCTACAGCCACAACGGCCCTTTCTGGACCGGTTTGGCCAGGTGAACACTGCAGGATGGAGGCAGAAAGTGGCTATAACTCCTCTGGCTGTAACTGCAGACAGCAAAACAACCCAAACGACACAACAGTGAGGAAGAGAAGAGGGAACTAAAGTGAAAAAATGATCAAAGAAGAAGAAATCAAGCCCTGGTGAACATAGCTAGCTTACATTGTATCCTCTGGAGAGACCTGCGGGTGCAGGACCGCCTTTGACTACATATGGACGCGAAGCTAGCGGTAATCTTTCATATTTTGTTAGCAGTGCATTGCTTTTGTACCATTTCATCAGTGATTGTTGTACAGCTTACACGAAGTCGCGCTAATGCTAATGTTTGCATACGTATCAGATCGCAAATAAAACTAGATGGCTTCGTGGGATGAGAGCGTAGGGGAAATGAGAAGTCTGTGAGTGAGCTGGGGAGCGGTGCTAAACATTCAAACTGAAAAAAACCTTGCAAAAACAGGTATAGCTCCTTTAAGGTTTCTTGAACAACTTCAAAATGTGTTACATTTGTGGAAAGACAAAGAGGGGGCAGTAGGGGACAGTAGGTGACAGCAGGCACCAGTAGGGGGCGGTCGTGAGCCTAGGATTTGGCCTGTAGCTGGCCAACCCCTTTCAGGTAGCTCATGTGTCAAATTCAGGAATTATTAAAATTTTGAGTCAATGCATAATTTACTTTTTCATTTGGTTCACTAATGTAGGGCACTCCAGTAACTCCACCTTTTATATGAGTGCTCATGATTTTCCACAGTTATTAGAGACTACTGCTTTATTACTACAGCCATTTCTGTCACGCAAACGTAACTCTCCATCACCCTACTTTCCATGATTTCAAGGTTCTGGTACACACATTACACCTGGTCATAGGCTGTACGTCCTGCATCGGTGTTTGGCGAGGGAGCAATATTACGACATGCTCCAGACGTGCACAGTCATGTCGTCTGTGACCGGCTGAGATTGCGGCGGTGGCGGCTGGTGTTTGAGTGTAGTTGACTTGTTCCCTTGTGGAGAATCTTTAGCCTCTATAAATGATGCAGACTGTGGCTTCTGCACTCAGAGACACATCCATTAATAACCAGGGCTTTCAGATACGTGCTGTCCATAAATGAGTAATGCATCTTTTGGATCTTTTTACCTGTGTCCCGCTGCCATGGATATACTCATAAATTCTCCACAAGAGCTAACAATCTAAAATATGCTGCGAGTGAATACAAGATTAATAACACTTGGAAATGTGTGGTTACTTTGTGAAACTTTGGAATGGCTACAAAATGACATTTATAGAAATCACATTTAAATGGAATTTTTGTTCTAGCGTTTTTTTATATATATATTTAATTCAATGTATTAAGCGCTTGGGTGTCATATCAGAATCAGAATCCTTTATATTGCCATGTGAGTAACAGGAAGTCACAAACTAGGAGATTGCTTTGGCTCTCGGTGCAAACAAGTTACGTCAGAATAAAAACAAGAAGGCATGCATAAATAAAAGTCTACATACATTTCTTCAGTGTACTATGTACAAGTGCACTAGTATACAAGGCAGGACACCACTTAGGGCTCAAAGGAGCAGTACCAAAATGCATTTGAATTTATTTTTGGCATCGTCCTAAATCTCAGCAGCCGTCGTCTCAGGGGATTTTATAAAGTTGTTTATTCTCCAACACAGATCAAGGAAATAAACGGTTCAAACACATGACATGCAATAATAAAATATTAACATAGATAGATAGATACTTTATTGATCCCTTTGGAAACACATCCATCCAAACAAACACAACAAATAAATGGTCAATTCTAAAAGTAGCTAACAATAGTGTGCAAATGCAACAGGACTTTAGGTCACAGCAGCAGACCTGGAGTAGCCGCTCGGTTCGGAGCATTTTCTCTGCTCTTTTCCGGAGTGAAAATGCTGAATGCTTTATTAGCATTTTTTCAATAAAATTAGCATTCCTCCAGTGGATTTCTGCTTGATCTGCTTGTTTCAGAACATGAATCCTCTCTGCTCTTGTCTGGGTTAGTGTAAAACCATGAAGACTGTACTGCAATATCATTTACAGGTATAAAAAAAGCAAGAAAAATGACAATGGTAAAACAAAAAATCGTTTCAGAGCGACTTACTCTTGCTGCCGTTTCCACTGCATTCAAAATGAGTCGTTGGTTCATAGGAAGTGGAGTTCTAATGTCTGTAAATGTTAATGAATTTTCAGAAATGTCCCGGATCATTACTGCCCTTCGACCCTTCTGCAGCGGTAGGAACTATTGAAAAACCCAGTGGGAAAAAGTGAGAAACCTAAGAAATCCAATTAATTAGAGTCTTTGTAATTAATTCATCGTATATAAATATTTGACCCGAGAACAGTGAGAAGTAATTTTTTTCCCATCCACGGAGCCAACCAACGCGGCTACATCAGCTTCTTTGTTCATGTTCACGGTGCCACTGTGGTTTGTTGTTGTCTGAACCCAATGTGTGCGCGTTAGTTGCTTATTATAGACCCATGGTTAGTTCCAGTACAATCGGTCCGTTCTGAGCCGCAGAGAAGCCGCTTGGTTCGGACCATTTTCTCTGCTCTAGTCCAAAGTGAGATGCTCATTGCTTTGTTAGCTTTTTTCAAAAAGTTAGCATTCCTCCAGTGCATTTTTGCCTGATCCGGTTGTTTCGGACCATGAATCCTCCCTTCCAGCGCATTAAAAAGTAAACATTGTTCCACTGTGTCGTGACTTCAAACTGCAAACAGAATCACCTCAGAGGAAAACCGATGCATTGATAAAGAGTTTTCTGATTCTGAATTCTTCTTATTCACTTTTGGCCAGAGTGTTTCTAGACAAACAGACTGAAGCTGGACCTGTGACAGTAGCTTCTGTCAATATGATTTGCTGCATTCACAGAAAAGGTGCCAGAGGAGCCACGGAGCCCCGGCTCCTCAGGTCGTACCCCACTGGCTTTGATGAATGTTTGTAATCCTGAATAATGAGACACAGAGTTGGGTAGAATACTGAATACATTTATTCCGTGACAGAATACTGAGTACATGACCTAAAATGTAATGTATGTTCCCGTGTTTGTGCGCTGATGACGAGCCCACGGCCCAAGTCTACCTCCTCCATGTTTTTTAGCCACAGTCTCCTCCGAGCGCTTGCTGTCGTTCGCCTGGACTTGTTGGATGTGTAATGTGTGTTATTGGTTTTTTTTACCTTTAAGACGTAGCATGAGAAAGTATGTATTCCCATTATTTTCAGAAATTAACTACAGTATATTCTATATACTAGACGAAGTAACTGTGACGGAATATTAATTTTATTAATATAATATTAAACAGCGTTACATGTATTCTGTCACTCTACATCACTGCCCACAGAAACAAACTGCTTTAAAGCATCTGAATCATATCTACAGTATTATATTATGAGCGTTATTATGTTTTCTCAATTAAACACCATTTTTCAATATTACCATGTACCTGTAGGTGCAGTATATTATGCACCAAGGGAAGGATAAGGGTTTCATTTTGGCTTCAATTTAATACAAAAAATATCATGTTCATATATATTGGTAATTGGTCTACAGATAATTCCAGGATTTGTATTGATATCTCAATAAAACAAAGCTAGTAGCCACTTCATAATTTTTGAAAGTATTTTTTAAATTTTTTTCATCAATCTTCTGTCATGAAAAAACTCATATCTCTTCTTCTATGTGAGTGTAAAGAATCAAAATATTTGTCATTGTATTAGCTGTGCGGTAAAAAACAATGTATGATCTGAATATACATTTAAAAAGGTCATTTTGAGAAGGACTGGGGCTCTGTTGTCTAGGTTGTTTTGAGACCCGCACACAGCGACTGCCTTCTCCGCTGTCATATTCACTCTGGTTCACGCCTGCTAATTTGGTACAAGTGGCGTATTCGTGTTCAGTGGTTTTAGATAAGACACGAAACGCTGTTGACATTTCCAATTAATCTAAAGAGTTGTGTTGTTGTGTGGGCCTCCGTTCTCCGAGATCTCAGCCGCACTTGTCTTGTCATCGCAGTCTTGAGAGCCTAAAGGGAATAGGACGAAGACTGGAGGGATGAGTGGCCATCCCTGTGCCGGCCAGGGACGCTGGGAGAGGGATCGACCCAAACAGAACCATGCATTTTTACATAGTGGATAAAAGCAGAGATTCAAGCCATTAATTTTTGTTCCCAAATTAATAATACATGTTGTTTGCCCAACAGAAAGAGTCCTGTAAAAGTGAAGTGCAAAGTGAATGTCAGACCACAACAGGCTGTCTTCACCCATTAGAAAATTAGATATACTTTGCAGACTTTAAGAATGAGCCCTGGAGTTAATTCTATTCAATTTAATTCAATCTCTTCTTGTATCGCCCTAAATCACAACAGTAGTTATCTCAGAACGACATTACAAAACAGTTAAATTTGCCAACACAGAGCAGAGAATCAAACAGAAACAGAACAAACTGAACAAAACAAAAAGCCCATTGGTATTAGTCCATAAGGGGCAGATGATAAATGTCCATAAATGTTGTTAAATGTTGAGTGTCCTAGATCCCCACAGTCCTTTTAGTTAGACCTCACAGGACTCTACCAGACCCTCCTGCATCGGCAAGGAACAACTCCACATAGAGAGAGGCATCCGCTCCCACAGACTGGCTGTAGATCCTGTATTACTGTAGAATGAGGACCAAGGGCACACTGCAGGCAGCTCCCAGGCGGGGAGGAGATGCAGTCCACAGGTGCGACAGTGACAACATCGATCTAAAGATAATTAATAAGCCAGGGACTGTTGTGGTTAGTAAAACATGTCTTTGGGCTATGTAACATAGAAACAATCTCCAAACAGCAGTTCCAAACAATCCATTTAACCGAATCTGACACTTTCAAATGAATGTGAAAGTGTTGTACCATAGACTTTATGCACTAATCACTCTCAATTACTACTTAACATAATTCTATTTGAGTCATAATGGGATAAACCTGGCCTCTGACCAATTGATAAAAGAGATAATGAGAATTTTACATATAAAAAAACTGAGGTGTGTGTATGGGCATGGATCTATAATAATAACTGGATTGTATTACTAGCTTAGAGCTGAAGGACCTAACGGGCTTCCCGCGGTACTGCAGACTAAATAAATCACATTTTCTCCATAGAACTCAATGTAAACTAAAACAGCTCGACTTCAGCTGACAGAGAACCTACAGCTTTCGTAAAGGTCGGATTTTGTGTGGATTTTAGTGTCCCTTGTCATCCTGGCCTTTTGTTTCTTGTTAAATCAATTGGTTTTCTATAAATCCACACTTTAGTGCATCAAACTCTGCTCGTTCTCTTCCCGCTCTAGCTCTGCTCTTGCTCCGCTCTGATTGGTCAGAACGCTGCTCCCTCTGTGCACGTGCATGAGAGCCACACAAACGTCATTGTTAGTAGTTGGCGCAAAGCATCATGGGAGGTCGTCCACTGCACAGACCTGGGAGCCGAAGTTGTCATTCTATTACACATGGTTAGACGTCCATGGAGGAGACAGCAGACGGCAGCTGCTGTTATCACTGCGCCGAACTATCGTCTCCTGGTCTCTTCCATGCACAATCCACTTTTATTGAATGAAACACACACTCACAAGCAGTCGTGGAAAAGTACAAGATGGTCCAGTTTCAGAGCATGCACCGGGACGGAGGAAGCAGGGAAATATGATTAATTAAATATATAACTTAAAAGCAACATTCTCAGGACACTTTGAAATAAATGATATACAGCCATGATGCAGGTTCAATGTTATTTGTAACATGCTGTTGTAAAATATGAAATAAAATAATCCAGAAAAGAGAAACTCACACACAATCTGACCGTTTCTTTCCATGTGTTGGCAGAGACCCGAACCAGCCCGTGCCCCAGGACACCAAGTTCATCCACACCAAACCCAACCGCTTCGAGGAGGTGGCCTGGTCCAAGTACACGCCCAAGGAGCAGCTGTACCTCCACATCGGCCTGAAACCCCGCGTGCGCGACCACTACCGCGCCACCAAGATCTCCTTCTGGCTGCAGCTAGTACCACACCTCCACCACGTCAACGAGCTGCTGCAGTCCGTGTCCACCTTCACCCACAGCCCCTCCATCCAGGACGAGACCCCCAACTCCTACACCCGCAAACTGACCAAGACCTGGTCCCTCGGCAGCACCAAGCACCCGGGCACCGCGGGCACCGTGCGGCCTCCGGAGCCTGCGCTGGGGCAGGGGGGCGACGGGCCGGGGGGGGATGAGGAGCACAGGGCAGTCCCGGCGCCGCCAGAGGACTACTCCACGGAGCTGTCGGTGACCATAGCCGTGGGCGCGTCGCTGCTCTTCCTGAACATCCTGGCGTTCGCGGCGCTGCTCTACAAGAAGGACAAGAGGAGGCTGGAGCACCGCAGGCCCCGCCCCATGGTCCCGCCCCGGCGCGACATCACAGCGGCGGACGTGGCGGCGCACCTGCAGGGGGAGGGGCTCATGTCGCTGCAGGTGAGTTGAAGACTTCTGTTTTTATGCTTTAATAATAAGATGAAGAGATTCTTTATTGTTCCCAAGGTGGGGAAATGTCAGTGTTGCATCAGCGGTTACAGAACAGTGGGAATGAGGAGAACACAACACATGATACATGAACAATAACTCTACACTAGAATTAAAGCCAGTATAAAATCTCTAACTTTAGCATAAATAAGAAGCAAGTATACATTCTCTAGCAATAGCATTATAAAGACGCAAGTATAAAATCTCTAGCTTTAGCACGGAAGAAAATCTAAAATCTCCAACTTTTTCTTAATGAAGAAGCAAGATTTAAGTCCAGTGCTTTGTGGGAGGTGGGCAAAAAAACCATGTCGTCCAATCCGTGTCACTGCAGTCGCTACTATCACCAGTTTTCACCTTATTCACAGTCTTTTCTTAAGATCAGCTTTTTTAGACAGAAAAGTTAAAAAGTGAGTATATGGAGTGTTATATTATTATGAAGACTAGATTATTATTTATATTATAATTAGTTTAGATCAGCTGTGGTAACTAATAGCCATGATCCACAATGTTGAAGTCAAAATAGAAAGTCCATAGGAGAAATCATGTGCAGGATAAATCAGTGTTCCCCAACCTTTCTGAGCCGTGACACACCTTTTTCATTGCAAATAATCTCACGGCACACCAGCAGAAAAAACTGATGCAAAAATGAAACTCTGCAGCCTTTAATAAAAACGCAAAGTAATGATCAAAGTGTATCATATAGAAAATCAAAGAATTATAATAATCTTTTCTAATCTTCTCTCATCGTTTTTTTTTCACATTATTTGGACCAATTAGATGATAATGTATGGGAGATTTTTTTGTGTCATCAGATTTTGACTTTTAAATGAGTGTCATGAGCACTTTTCACCTGACTGAAATTCACAGACAAAAATCAAATAGATGAATTCAGGTCCATTTAAAATTAAATTTCTGATGGACCAAATAATTACTCTTTTTTTTAATTGAAAAAATGTTTTGGGAATATTTTGAAGGTGAATTTGTCATTTTTAAATCTTAAGACAAAAAATATTCAGATACGCTTTGTCAGGGTTAAAAATTTCAAATGGAAAAAATCAGGCTCATTTAAAATTCAAAATCTGACGACACAAAAAATCTTCCAAAATAAGGGATCATCAAGCCAAGTCTCAATGCCCACAAACATACCACGGCCCACTGGTTGAAAAACACTGGCATATATAACACAATCCATTTCCAGCAGATGTGAAAACCAAACTAAGATCTATCTATGTTTGACCAAAGTCTGTTTACTGTATGTATGAGAGACGTCCAGCTCCACCGCCTCTGTCTCTCCTTTACTGCTGTATTGGGTCTGTATAAGTAATAACATCTCTCAATATACTGTATCCAGGGTGCATTCATACATATGGAATCGTCTCTAGTTTGCCTCCGGCGTCACTCGGCACGGATATCTGGTCGAGAATCTTCTTTGCCGCCGCTCACCTCTCTGTAACGCAGAGTGGAGTATTCCCTCACAAATGATTCTCTTCCACCGCTGCTGGGGAGAGCACATGTTTTCACACATTTGTCTTAAAGCTGTATTTTCCAAAATCAGCAGCATCTTCACATAAATATTCTTGTGTAATAAGCCGCACAGGCCTGAATCAGCGTTTGTCCTGGAAAGCAGCTCACACAGCACTATCGCAAAAAGATATTATCATAAGAACATCTGCCCATAGCTATGACTTTATTTATGTATTTCATTTATCTCATTTTTTGCCGTGCATAATCAGGTCTTTGCTGTTTTGCTTGAGGAGATTCCTTAAAGGATATTCTGCACTTTTTTTCACGATGAGTTTTTTAAGCAGGTTGCTACACATTTCCTCCTCATTTCCTCAGAGCTGTAGCTAGTGTCAGAAAGACCCCAAGCTTCTTAAGCTTATGGGAACTTTTTCAAGGAACAAACATTTTAAATAATATAAACAATAATAGACTTACATGAATTAACTCACCGATATAACACACACAACTTATCAAATCAAATGCATCGGTAAATTTATAACCACCGACCATAGACCTACAATGGTCCCCCGAACATAGACCTACAATCCCCGACCATAGACCTACAATCCCCGACCATAGACCTACAATCCCCCGACCATAGACCTACAATTCCCCGACCATAGACCTACAATCCCCTGACCATAGACCTACAATCCCCTGACCATAGACCTACAATCCCCCGACCATAGACCTACACAATCCCCCGACCATAGACCTACAATCCCCTGACCATAGACCTACAATCCCCTGACCATAGACCTACAATCCCCGACCATAGACCTACAATCCCCCGAACATAGACCTACAATCCCCGAACATAGACCTACAATCCCCTGACCATAGACCTACAATCCCCCGACCATAGACCTACAATCCCCCGACCATAGACCTACAATCCCCCGACCATAGACCTACAATCCCCGACCATAGACCTACAATCCCCTGACCATAGACCTACAATCCCCTGACCATAGACCTACAATCCCCCGACCATAGACCTACAATCCCCCGACCATAGACCTACAATCCCCCGACCATAGACCTACAATCAATCCCCGACCATAGACCTACAATCCCCCGAACATAGACCTACAATCCCCCGACCATAGACCTACAATCCCCATAGACCATGACCATAGCCATAGACCTACAATTCCCCAACCAATTCCCCATCTTGTGCTCTTAATGTGTTTGATTTATGCATGATGTGATAGGGGATGTGAAGCGCTTTGCGTTGCCTTGTGTAGGAAAGGCGCTATACAAATAAACGTTGATTGATTGATTGATAGACCTACAATCCCCTGACCATAGACCTACAATCCCCCGACCATAGACCTACAATCCCCCGACCATAGACCTACAATCCCCTGACTGTTATTTCTCGTAGCCTATTGTTCAATAATATTATAAAAATATGAGGTAACAAATGCTTGAATCAAGAGGTTTTTATCTTAATTTTAATTCATTCTGTCTTAAAACAAGATTTGCCAAAGGGACAAGCCATTTATTCATATTTTCTCTCCCATTTCAAAACCTTTGTCTTGAAGCAGTCAAAACGTGCTCAAGTTAAGACACATTAAGAACAATTTAGTACTTTTTTCATCACGTTTTGCAGTGAACGTTGGTGGAACATGATAAAAAGAGACACTTGTGTTTAGCATAGATGAATCACACGCCGCTTCTTCCCACTGTTGTCTCAGGCGACTGTTTGTCTATGGACAGTTGTCAATTCGATGACTGTAATTGTGCCCATTGGCAAAGGAAGCTCATGCATAAATTCAACCATTTTGCCCTTGTCTCTCTCTGTCACCGTCAGCCAATCACAGCCTGCCACTTTGCCTCTTCGCCAAGCGCCACTCGAGACACAAAACACCCTCCCCTCGTCCTCAGCAGCAAAGATTCACTCTTAAGGTTTTGTTAAGGATTTATCGATACTACTTTTATCAATACTCCTCATCAATCTGGTCAAACTTAAAATCACAGTTACGTCTATTTATCAATCGATACCAAACCAAGCTAGCTCCTGTTAGCTTCAGATGTGACTTGCATCGACATTAAACATTTTATTTACTATAATATTAGGGCTATGGTCAGGGGATTGTAGGGCTATGGTCAGGGGATTGTAGGTCTATGGTCAGAGGATTGTAGGTCTATGGCTGGGGGATTGTAGGTCTATGGTCGGGGGATTGTAGGTCTATGGTCGGGGGATTGTAGGTCTATAGTCAGGGGATTGTAGGTCTATGGTCAGTGGATTATAGGTCTATGGTCAGGGGATTGTAGGTCTATGGTCGGGGGATTGTAGGTCTATGGTCAGGGGATTGTAGGTCTATGGTCGGGGGATTGTAGGTCTATGGTCGGGGGATTGTAGGTCTATGGTCAGGGGATTGTAGGTCTATGGTCAGGGGATTGTAGGTCTATGGTCAGGGGATTGTAGGTCTATGGTTGGGGGATTGTAGGTCTATGGTCGGGGGATTGTAGGTCTATGGTCAGGGGATTGTAGGTCTATGGTCGGGGGATTGTAGGTCTATTGTCGGTGGTTATAAATTAACCGATGCATTTGATTTGATAAGTTGTGTGTGTAAATATATATTTACTATATTATTAAAACTAGAGAACCTATTTTTTGTTTCATTAATACATTTAGTTTGTCCAAAAAGAACGAACACATCACACACCAGGGTCAACTTGTCAGAAAACATTTGATATTATACATACTGACCCTCATTTCTAATTTGTTAAATGCTTCAAGAAACGTCCTTTATCGCGGACCCGGAAGCTGCAGTTCCAGCGGCCGTGACAAAGAGGTTGGAATAACATCGAGGAACAGTCAGGAAAGTGACTACCAGACTTTCCTTTAAAGGTCCCATATTCTGCTTTTTGACTTTTCTCTGCTTTAAACATCATTACAGCTATTTGCCCGGAGTATTTTTTTGCCCGAGTCACATCAGTGACAATTTCAACGTTGATGACGCAGAAGACTGTTTTTTTATTGAAATGGTTCTAAAATAATGACGTCAAAACAGCTTAAACATTAAATATACTGTCTGTTGTCCAAAATAATATTAATAATGATTTTGATAGTAATGATAATGACCAGGAGGAGATTGACAAATCACAGCCTCAGAGTCCAGCGTATATCACTGTTATACTTTTGGCCCCAACCAGCTTTTATTTTTAAACTTGGCCCGACCAAAATGCAGTTTGACACCACTGCTCTATGGTGTGGTCCTGCGTCCACCACATGGAGGTAGACTGTTTTTCTGAAAGTCTTTGGATCATGTCAACTTGGATAAAATATGTTTTTGGCCTTGGGGGAGGCGGGTGAGGATGGGGGGAGGCGGGCTCACAGGCCGAGGAGCAGAGAGAAGCAGGGATCAGCTCGTTGCAACTGAAGGTGACGACAAGAAATGGTTATAATCTCACAAGTTTTAAGTGTTGTATGGTGTGTTACCACATTATTATCACACATGTGCTTAGGATGGACTGTGAAACATGAAGATCGAAAAGTGGGACCTTTAATAAGCCTTAAGCCTTGGACACTGGGGACCCTCCTTTTTTAGTCAGAAGTCTGGCATCCTGCGAGAAGTGCACGGATTGGCTGGTATGGGAGGGGGCCATGCTATTTGTCAGGAGAAGATTTAAAATGTGATTCTAAACTCCACAGGAAGCTTGTCGAGCACTTTCAATTCTGGATGTATGTTATCTCCTTTCAGTGCTTGGGTTTTACCTTGATGAAGCCGTTTTATGGTAGATTTAGGGCACGCTGCATGCAGGATGTCACAGTTGTCAAGTCTGAGTGCGAGCTAGTGCCACTTCTAGGCAGAATACCGCTGATTTGATTAAATTTGAGTCTATCCATCAGATTGGTTTGACTTGGTCTCCATAAGTAAATGTGCGTGTCGACTGCATTTCAGTGCAGCTAATGTCATCATTGCAGCATATACAGTGTAAACAGAATCAGACCAAGAGCTGATCCTGAGGCGCACCAAAGGCCAGAATTGAGGACGGAGTTCTGGTTCACACTCAATTAAGATTTGTAGTTTGATTTTTTAAGGACATTGTGAAACAATTAAAAATATGGCTGCACCAGATTTAGCACCTGCTACCCTTTACCTGTAGTCCTTGACAATACAATCATATAACTTTCATTTTACCGGGGTGGTGATCCCTCTCTACAAGAAGGGGGACCGGAGGGTGTGTTCCAATTATCGTGGGATCACACTCCTCAGCCTCCCCGGTAAGGTCTACTCCAAGGTACTGGAGAGGAGGCTACGGCCGATGGTCGAATCTCGGATCCAGGAGGAGCAGTGTGGTTTTCGTCCCGGTCGCGGAACACTGGACCAGCTCTATACTCTCCATCGGATACTCGAGGGTTCATGGGAGTTCGCCCAACCTGTCCACATGTGCTTTGTGGATTTGGAGAAGGCGTTCGACTGTGTTCCCCGGGGTGTCCTTTGGGGGGTTCTCCGGGAGTACGGGGTCGGAGGTCCTCTGCTGAGGGCCATCCGATCCCTGTATGACCGGAGCCAGAGCTGTGTTCGCATTGCCGGCAGTAAGTCAGACCTGTTCCCGGTGAATGTTGGCCTCCGACAGGGCTGCCCTTTGTCACCGGTTCTGTTCACTGTATTTATGGACAGAATATCTAGGCGCAGCCAGGGGTCGGAGGGGGTCCGGTTCGGAGACCACAGGATTTCATCTCTGCTGTTTGCGGACGATGTTGTCCTGTTGGCTCCAACGAACCAGGACCTGCAGCATGCACTGGGACGGTTTGCAGCCGAGTGTGAAGCGGCTGGGATGAGAATCAGCACCTCCAAATCCGAGGCCATGGTGCTCGACCGGAAAAAGGTGCCTTGCCCTCTGCAGGTGGGTGGAGAGGTCCTTCCTCAAGTGGAGGAGTTCAAGTATCTCGGGGTCTTGTTCACGAGTGAGGGAAGAATGGAGCGTGAGATTGACAGGCGGATCGGTGCAGCATGCGCAGTTATGCGGTCGCTGTATCGGACCGTTGTGGTGAAGAGGGAGCTGAGCCGAAAGGCAAAGCTCTCGATTTACCGGTCAATCTTCGTTCCCTCCCTCACCTATGGTCATGAGCTTTGGGTAATGACCGAAAGAACGAGATCGCGGATACAAGCGGTCGAAATGAGCTTCCTCCGCAGAGTGGCTGGGCGCTCCCTTAGAGATAGGGTGAGGAGCTCAGTCACACGGGAGGAGCTCGGAGTAGAACCGCTGCTTCTCCACGTCGAGAGGAACCAGTTGAGGTGGCTCGGGCATCTGTTCCGGATGCCTCCTGGACGCCTCCCTGGGGAGGTGTTCCGGGCACGTCCCACCGGGAGGAGGCCCCGCGGAAGACCCAGGACACGCTGGAGGGACTATGTCTCTCAGCTGGCCTGGGAACGCCTTGGGGTCCCCCCGGACGAGCTGGAGGAAGTGTGTGTGGATAGGGAAGTCTGGGCATCTCTGCTTAGACTGCTGCCCCCGCGACCCGGCAACGGATAAAGCGGAAGAAAATGGATGGAACTTTCATTTTAGTAGACACCTGTGGATTGCTCTTCCGCCATCACCTGTGTCACTTCCCAGCCGGTGCAGGAGAGCTGGTTCTTCCAGAGGAGGGCGCTATATCCTGTTTTTTCGGTGGTGTTTGCCTGTTTTTGCTGCTTCTTGAGTATTATCTGAAGTCCTTATCAACGGCATGGAGGTGCAGACCATCTCCTTCAGCTCCTTGGGGGGTGTGGGGAGGCCCAGGTTGGGTCTGGAACAGGCCTCCTCCTGCTCCTCAGCCTCTCCGTCCCTCTGCGATGTCTGCGTTTAGCGACTGTTTCTGCGGGTGGCTGGTGTCGCGCTGGTGTTGCGTTGGTGTCGCTGTGAAATGGATCCCTAGGGACATGAGGGCTGGTTGTATTAGTTGCGCTGGGTAAACAGAGCAGTGGGGAGGTGCTGGAGGGAGGACGGTGCTGGGAATGGAGACGCTGTTCCACTGTGGCCGTGCCATTACTGTCTGGGAGACGTCTGGGAGATGCAATTTCTCATTTCACGCTTTCAGACTTTTTGTGTTGTGCTTTTGAAAGTGTGCGTGTACGAAACAGATGGGCCGTGTTATTACAGCGTTCTCTCATGAAAGCATGAGTCCTACTTTCATGATTATTTCATTTCACTGTTTATGAATCTCACAAAAATATATATAACAAAAAATTCAGTATTTTTTAAATTCTTTAGAGACCACCAAAAAATGATTTTTCCAACTTTTTACTTTCACCCTACTTTCTTCTGCGTATTTTTTAAATGAGTGTGTGTGTGTGTGTGTGTCTGTGATATTGTTCCTGAGTGTCTCTGTGCTCGTGGACGTGTGTGCGTGTGTTTTGATAGCGTGCGTGAGTGTGTCCGTGTACGTGTTTGTGTATGTGCATGCGTGAGTGTGTGTATGCATATCCTGTATGCATACACACACTCACTATGTTGTTCCTGTAGTGTGTGTGTCCTGTATGTTCCTGTAAGTGTGTGTGTGTGTGTTTGCATAATTGGTTGGTGGTGATTGAAGGGGCTGATGGCACAGACTGCCTCAGTCTTTCTGCTGGTCTTCCCAAGGGCAGCTGTGGCTACAGTAGTAGTTCATCACACCGTGCATTATCTTTTATTTTATTTGTGTTTTCCATGAGTCTAAGTTAATATACGTTTAAGTGTGACATGTTTATTAAAATTGACAGACACACTTTTGCAACACTATAAAGTTTTTTAAGTGGACAATATGTCTAAACTAGGGCTGTCAAAATTATCACATTAACGCACGTTAATTCATTTTTTAAATGAATCGCGTTAAAAAATTAACGCATTGACGCATGTACGGAATGACCCGCCCATGCGTCCAATAATAACACTCAGAATGCCGCGGACACATGCGTGTGTGAGATGGTGACAGAGCAGGTAGGCCCTCTGGGAATTCAAGGTTAAAAAGTGCATAGGCAAGGCAAGTTTATTTGTATAACACAATTCATACACATGGCAACTCAAAGTGCTGAACAACATAAGAAAGCATTAAAATCATAAATAATCACACTACATTAAAAAGAAATATAAAAATATAAATCCCTCAGTTGTATGCACAGCTAAACAGAACCGTTTTTAACCTGGTTTTAAACATTGTCAGAGAGGAGGCCTGTCTCACATCTTCAGGGAGATTGTTCCAGATTTTAGTAGCATGAATCTGAAAAGCAGCCTCCCCATGTTTAGTCCTGACTCTGGGCACTAACAGGCGTCCAGTCCCTGTGCTCCTCAGAGTCCGGGCTGGTTCATATGGGACTAACATGTCACTAATATATATTGGTGCGAGGCCATGGGGAGACTTGTACACAAGCAGAGCTGTTTTAAAGTCTATTCTCTGAGCCACAGGAAGCCAGTGCAGAGACCTGAGGACTGGACTAATATGGTCGTACTTCCTGGTTCTAGTCAGGACTCGAGCTGCTGCATTTTGAATGTACTGCAGCTGTTTTACAGCCTGTTTGGACAGACCTGTGAGCAGGCCATTGCAGTAGTCTAACCTACTGGAGACAAATGCATGGATAAGAATCTCCAGGTCTGCTTTAGACACTATGTTTTTGATCCTGGCAATGTTTTTTAGATGGTAAAAAGCTGCTGATGTTACTGATTTGATGTGGCTATTAAAATTTAAGTCTGAGTCCAGTATTACCCCTAGATTTCTGACCTTGTTTGAAGGTTTTAGGGAGAGAGACTGGAGGTGACAGATGACACTCTCTCTTTGTTTCTGGGGACCAAAGACAATCATTTCAGTTTTGTCTGCGTTTAGCTGAAGGAAGTTGTTTTGCATCCACTCACTGATCTGTTGGATACATTGAAGGAGTGAGTCCACTGGTCCGTGTTCTCCTGCAGTCAGTGAGACATAGATCTGAGTGTCGTCTGCATAGTTATGATAGGACACTTTGTTTCTGCGTATTAACTGACCTAACGGCAGCATGTAGAGATTGAACAGAAGAGGTCCCAGGATCGACCCCTGTGGTACTCCACAGGTCAGGGCCATATGATCTGAGACACAGTTTCCAATCTCCACAAAGTACTTCCTGTCTTCAAGGTAAGACCTAAACCAACTTAGGGCGGTGCCAGCGACGCCAACCCAGTCCTCTAGTCTCTGTAAGAGGATCTCATGGTCGACGGTGTCAAAGGCATACAGCAAGTTGTTTGCTGTACGTACTGAACGGGAGTCTGCATCCTCCGTGGCCGCAGCGTTCTGACCCGGGGCAGCTGCGGCCGCTCTGAATAGAGGTTCCCACCTCCAGCGGCTGTCGCTTTGACAAAAACACAGCGAACACAAAAAAATGAGCGTACATGCAATAAATACACCTCTGAAGCTGAACTACGGAGCCTCAGTCTCCTCCGTGTCTTCTCCCGAAGCGCACTTGCTAAATTAATTTCCCTTCCACGACCAGTTCATGTTGGTTGTGCCCAAAAGTAAAATGTTGTGAGCAAATCAAACAGATTTCATGACATTCTGCCTCAGACTGTTTTGAAATGTCCCAATGTTAGTAGAGTTGTTGGATTTTCATTAAAGTGAATTAGTGTATTCAAAGTTTAGATAGCTTTGGGTTAACCTACTGTGTGGTGGGATGGAGAATTCTCTCCCATCCCCCAGGTAAGCGTGAAAGAGCAGAGTAAACAAAGCATGAAAGAAGGAAACATCTGTGTTGTGACAAGAAGACTCCTGACTGATGAGAGGAGATTGGTTTTCTCACCTAGGTCATATTGTCACCAAATGGTCACATGTGTTTCAAATTATCAGGGTATAAGAACAGAGTTCTTGGTCCATTTCTTTGTCACTCTGCTGCTTTCCATCTAGCAGAGACCCAGACTGGTGCAGTCTGTAAAACTTGTCTGTTTGTGCTGATGTCCAGATAACCTGTAGTTTTGAACCAGCGGCTGACAACATGTATTAAAGAGATTATGTTGTTGAAATGTGAGTAGTTTATTCACACCCATTCTCATCTCTGTAACAAACAATAGTTTTGGTCTGAGTCTACTACAGAAAGACGGAATGTTAATAATTTGATGTGGATTTATTGCGAAATATGACATAATTTTGCCGATAGTATGAAATGCGATTATTACGATTCATAAATTCTTGAGCTGTAATTAACTCGATTAAAAAATGCGCTTTACTTTATCACAAAATACAATACATACACACGCTTCTATTTCATATCTAAGTTTATACCACTGATCAGACTTTCTAACCTCTATGATCCAACGGCGTGCGGAATGAGGAGAGAATAAGGCTTAGGAAGCACCGGATATTAAAGATGAAATTAGATTAGATTGAAAGTGTACAGTCGAAGCATATTTTAAGAAGAAAATCAAGAATTTAAAGTGCAAAATCCACTGCACAGTATGAAGACGTCCCACCTGAACAGAATGTCGGAACAGAATGAAATGGAAACGCTGATCCAGGGACATATCACATATTCATTATTCTTTGGTTGGCCCTTTAAAATACTGTTAATGAAAGTATTATGCAGCCTGCGTGAATCTGGTAAGCGACCTGCTGCAGCCATCATAAACAATCCTTCAGCCTCGGCCAATCACACAGCGCTGCAAACCAACGCCACTTAAGCAGCGTTTAACAGCGGAAACTTCCCAACATTTAACCCTTTCCCAAGGCTCCCCACGAGTTGTTCTGGAGTCACTTTCATGTCAGGCCTCGCAACCACTACAGCTCAACTTCACCCTTATACTACCACCAGTACCTGGACTTATGACAACACTAGTACCTGGACCTGGCGTCTCAGCTAGAAGGTCCTGGGTTTGAATCCCGGTCAGAACAGGGTCTTTCTGAGTTAAGTTTGCATGTTCTCCCTGTGACTGCGTAGGTTCTCTCTAGGTGCTCCGGTTTCCCCTACCACTAAAAACATGTACTATAGATCTTAATGTAATGAGTGAATGAATGGTGTTGGTTGGGAGCTTTGATGCTTCTTTGTGTTTTGTCATCACCGTTTGGAGAGAATGGAATAATATCATTGTGAAGCGCTTTGGGTGACCTTAGTCTGTAAACATATATAAATAAAGATTGCTTACTTAATTACTTTTGCATACTTGCACAATCTACATACTTGGGTTGAGAGCTGATTTGCTTAGCGAGGGTGGTCCTCTCTTGTTCATGTTTCTGTCTGAAATTATCGATGTAAGATGTGACACAGCCTGGTGAGCTGAGGCCAAAGCAGACTTCTCTTGGCCGGAGAAAAGGCTTGATTTTCACTTTCTTTGGACGTGTGAGGGTCAAGGGAAGAATTTTAAAATTCCAAGGACTATTGATGTTTTTAGAAGGAGTTTTAGACTAACACACTGGACCTGCCAGACATTGCTCCTGCACCTCTGCAACCATGTATTTTCCATTTTTGAGCCATGAACATGTTACAAAAATTTACAGAGATAGTTATTATTTCCTATTTTCCCTTATTGCTCCTGTGGACTCACCACCTGCAGGAGGATCAGTGAGGGGCTGGTGCTATGTGGACTGGGTGGCATCTCTGGCCATCCCCCCTACCCAGAAATGGATTAAGGGGAAGAAAATGGATGGATGGAGTTATTATTTGGTGTAAGCGTAATGGCGGATAGGAGCAGCGGTCGCTGTATCGGACCGTCGTGGTGAAAAGGGAGCTGAGCCGAAAGGCAAAGCTCTCAATTTACCGGTCAATCTTCGTTCCCTCCCTCACCTATGGTCATGAGCTTTGGGTAATGACCGAAAGAACGAGATCGCGGATACAAGCGGTCGAAATGAGTTTCCTCCGCAGAGTGGCTGGGCGCTCCCTTGGGTGAGGAGCTCGGTCACACGGGAGGAGCTCGGAGTAGAGCCGCTGCTTCTCCACGTCAAAAGGAACCAGTTGGTGTGGCTTGGGCATCTGTTCCGGATGCCTCCTGGACGCCTCCCTGGGGAGGACCAGGGAAGACCAAGAGGACGCTGGAGGGACTGTTTCTCTCTGCTGGCCTGGGAACGCCGTGGCTGAAGCGGAAGAAAATGGATGGATGGATAATCACTAAACCCTATATTTAACTCAGAAAAAGGTGTGGTGTAATTACCAGGGTTTGTCTATCTGTCTGTTTTATAGTTCACAACAAAACTCAAAATGTTATTGATGGATTTGACCAAGTTCTCAGTGAAGCTTGGTAATGGGACGCACAAATGAGTGTTTGGATATTTCATGACACTTTTAAACAACTGTGCTTAAAGTTGAACTCATCCTCTAAGAACACTGTGCAGTGATTTTCCACTTGATGTTTTGGTTTTCTGAAGGCCGAAGCTACTGGCACCGTGGCAGCTGCTGATTGAAGCGTCTCTATTGCTCCATGCTTTAAAATCACTTGCATTCTGAAAATCTTTGGTCGTGTCTCTTTCTGACATTAATAAAATGTCTGGCTGAACACAACCCCAGACCCCGCGCCATTTTCTTCAAGAGCTTAAGTCGATGTTGATTTTGAGTGTGCTTCTTGCCTCACGTATTAGCACACTGGCTCCCACAGCCTTTGGAACTTCATTATTTTCTAGTCTATTCTATTCTTATCTTCTCTCTAATAATGCTGATCTAAAGATGTGACAGAGGGAGGATGTGACATGTGCAAACACAGGTCCATTTTTGTGTTTTGAAAGTTAGGCACCCTCGCTTTAAGGCAACAATACAGTTTCAGTATTTTTATCTCTCCCTGAATTAGTGCAGTGGACACAAGACACTGATTAACAAAGAAGTGAGTATGGTGCAGGGTTATTCTTAACTTTTCCCCAGGGCTGGATTGTTCACAGGGCCACAGCCTCTGAGCCGGAGAACTGCATCACGCACACTTTAAACACAGTTTGGATTCACAAAGAATCCCCAAACTCTTATTTGAAATCATAATAAACAGAGCAAAGTTTACGACTGCAACTGAATGAAAGAAGCCCCACACTAACCACAATGAAACCAGTGGACAGTGGATCAAACATGGATATTATATATATATATATAATATATATATATATATATTATATACCGGACCCCCTCGAAAAAGAGATGATTCATCTCAAGGGGCCATCCACAATAAATAAATAAATAATAAATAATGTTGGATATTAGTGGATCAATAGTATCACTTCCATTTCTAAACCATAAAATACAGACCGTACAATACTCCTGGACACCTCGCTGGTCCAATAGTAATGTACGGTTAGGAGGCTTACAAAACAGTAACTCACCTGGCTGCCAACAAAACGTGAGCTGGTTGGGGCCAGCTCACATTTATAGTATTATTTTTTTCTACTTATTTTTGTCATTTAACAAATATAAACCACAATTGGGCCAAATACCAAGAAGAAATTTGCTCAGAAAAGTATAACATCCCATTATCGTTAGTGCTGCAAGTCACTGCGGCATTGATAATTGATAGTAATTTCAAGGGCCGCTAATATTGATCTTGCCAAGTTTGACATGCCGGATCTAAACCGTGTCCTGACCCTCAGTATCAATCAATCAACGTTTATTTGTAGAGCGCCTTTCATACACAGGGCAACACAATGCGCTTCACAGTCCACATCACAAAGCACAAATCATCACATAAAACAAACACCAGAATCACAATTAAAACATTAAAATCACACAAAAAAATTAAAAGCATTAAAACTTTCAAATTACACAAGGAATTAAAAAATGAATAAATAAATAACCACAGTGCATTAAAAATGGAGATAAAATCCTTTAGTTGCATGCACAGAACAGTCTTTAACCTGGATTTGAACATTGACAGAGTAGAGTATGGTCTAACCCTGTCCTGTGTCTGAGCTCTAACTCTGTGTCTCAGCTTTAACCCTGTTTTCTTTGTCACAGGTGAAGCATCTGGACTGTGACGCCGCCTCGGCCGACGAGCGTAACAACGCGCTGCACCTGCACCACACCCTGGGCACGCTGGACGCGCTGGACGGTCTGGACACGCAGGACATCTACAGCACCCTGGACACCGTGCGCCTCACCTGCCCGCCCGACTACACGCTGACGCTGCGCCGCGCTCCGGACGACGCCCCGCTGGTGACCACGCTCAACCCGGGGTCTCTGCCCGTCACGCCCGGCTCGCACCCTGTGACCCCGGCCACGCCCATGACACCCATGACCCCTGCGTCCGTGGTGGGCATGAGGCACTACCCGCACCACCAGAGCCCCTACAGCAACACACACCTGCCACACACGCACATGTCAGCGCACACGCACTCCACCACGCGCGTATAACCACGGAGCGCGCACACACATGTAGGGTGCAATTATGGAGCGCGCACACACACACGCCGAGACGGACTCACATTTGTGCCAAAACCAAGAACACAGGTCTTTGTCTAGCGTGCAATACTCGATACTTTTCTGATCGATCTTATTGATTTTATAGTCTTTTATGATTTTTTTATATTTAGTTTATTAGTTTTTATTTTGTTTTGCTTATTTAATTACAACATTATACCAGTACAAATTATCGCCCCAAAGTAAACAACCCAAAACAACTCAACACCTATCTGCAACCTAAATTATAAGAATGTCGCACAGACTCTAGAATCCTTTACATAGATGCACAAATAAACCTTGAAAAAAGTAAATTTGTATAATTTCAAGAATTCTGCCAGTGGGGAAGAGTTCTAATTTCATTCCACTAAATGTTTTTTAAAAAAATCGAATTGTCAGTAGTGACTTGTTAGATCCTTATTATAGAACACACATCTTAATCAGAATCAGAATCAGAATAATTTGTATTGCCACGTAGGTAACAGAAGTCACAGACTTGGAAATTGCTTGGCTCAGTGCAACAGTCAGAGAGATAATAAAAAATAAAGAACAAAAAACACTTCCAGGGAATAAATTAAAAAATAAAATTAATTATTTCCGTGTCCCATTATCCATTTTTTTTACCATAACAGTTGACTCTGGTTGCTGTCCAAGAAAGACTCACAACCCACTGCATTTGGGTCCAGGACAACTGCAGCATTAGGCACATTTTCAGCCCTAGCATTAGCCACATTAGCAGGGTACATAGCCTACATGCTAAATTTACAAAATCCAAAGTTTGGCAGTCAACACCAACAGTTTTGGATTGGGGCATCCGGAGTTGTTAGACTGTGTTTCTTCATCGTCGTCAGGGTTTTACCAAGATTCTCGTGATACGTTAACTGTGCCTGTTAGCAAAACCTTTGACACACTGCATTTGTTAAAAAAAACATCCTGATTCAAATCTCATTCTCCAGTTTCATTTGCTGCAGAGGGAAAGTGAAGACATTTTGTAGCGTTGTAACAAATCGCTATCCTGTTCTGCTAAAGATTAAGGGCTTTACATTCTATTATATCTCTAAATCTCTTTGCTGTCATGGTTCAGATTCTCAAGGTCCTTCTTTGGTGTGAAGTGACAGCCGCCGTGGATAGGTGCTTGTTGTCCTTTTGGAGCACTAATCCCACTTTCCACCGTTCAGGTCTTGGCTGCCATCTCACCCTTTGGCTGACTTTCCTTTTGCCTTATTATCTCCACAAACTTAGCATTCTTCCAACACAGACACATCTCATCTAGTCGCTCTTTAAACAGCATCAAAGTCTTCTAGGTTTTCCAGACAGCATCTTTCTTCCTAATCATTTTGACGGGAATTGTCAGAATACACTAAAAATCACCTCGATACCAGCATTGATACCATGGTGACAGTTTTGGAGAATACGCTGCAACCTCTACCACAATTCTTAGTACTTTGAATGGTTTCGTACCAGTACTATCATTGCGTACTACTGTGATATAGATACAACAATTCAGGAATGACTCCGGAAGAGTCAATTATTTTCTTTTTTTTTTTGTGCATTTACAGTCCCACCATAAAGGCGACTGTAACTTATTATGATGTTCTAGTTCTGACTTTTTTGGTAGAAAGACACATGCATAAACTATAGATATACACCAATACAGCTGATGTTTGAGAAGATTTTTTTTTAAATGCATTTTTGCTTTAATCATTCCCCCTAGGGCTGGGCAATATATTGAATTTAGGCAATTAATTGCCTTATGAAAAAATTGTGAAAAATGTGAAAATCGTGAAATCGAATGAAGGATATTGTTAGAGTTCCAGCAGCACATCAATTATACTTGTAATATCAGCACTGTTTGTACAAGACTTTTATAATACGTATTGGGGGAAACAAATTAAAAATGGTTTTGAAACTTGAATATTGAGCGGAGTAGGGTAAAGTCTGTCTGTCGGTGACTTTAATGAAAAACGATTTCAAATCGAAATCGTCCAAAGCAGGAATTAAGCTCGAGATTTTACTTTTTAGCCATATCGCCCAGCCCTAAAATTTCCCCCTAAACAATTATTATTGCCTAAATACATTTACAAATGTTGTCAAATAATCAATTCTGAGCATAGTAGCAAGGTTTTTGCCCAGTTTATTATGTGGTTGCCAGGTAGCATCTCAAGTGTAAAGCTGTGCAACCAAAAAGTCAAATTACAAATGTCTTTGTTGCTAAATCCTTGAAGATTATAGACTTTATTTTCACTGGAAAAGTACAGTCCAACCTGTCATATAAAACGTGGATTGTCAGAAAGTCTCCCTCAACATGCTAATGCTAACAACCACAACCACAACCTGAGCCCCCATAGCAACCAAGAAACAGCCTCCACAGCACTGAGCCCACAGAAAGATCACGTTTACTGATGGAGAAACATTAAGATGATCCACGACTTTGTAACTCCAACGATAATAAGTCTCTTTTGGCGCAAATGTCATTCCACACATGCGCATACACACATACAGATACACACACACAGATAGACACGCTCACACAGACAGACACACATATACATACATATATACACGCACACTCACACAAACAAACGCGTACACACACTGAGACTGAAATACCTCTAACTAATTACCCTGCAGGATTGTTAAGAACGATGGAGCGCAGGACTTTTTCAAGGAGGCCAGCTATGTGCGTTGCATGATGGGAAACGGAGTCCAAAGTGGCAGGTGCAGTTCTATGCATCGACATCCGAACACTGGATTTGGGCTTTTTGTACACCGGGCAAAAGAATAACCGCGGACGCACCACGCAATGACGACACACGGACTGCTGATATCGACTTGAACAACCTGTGAAATGTGAATGTAGCAACTTTTTCTTGGGTTTTTTTCTTTGTTTTTCGGGTACATGTACGGCAAGCCAAAGGGGTCACAACCTAACCCTAGCCCTGACCTTGCAACATGAAAAGCAAAAACATACAACAGAGACATAGTGTGTGAACCGTACGACTTCTAACCAAGTTCCATCACTGTGTCTCATCCGTCACAGACCTGGAGTTGTTTTTAGATCCATCCATGCTGAAATCAGACCTGTAGCTCCGCCCCCTTCAGTCTGAAACCTCCTCAGTCCTGTAATAGTATGACGTCGTTGTACCACTATGACGGGCATGTCCAAACTCAGGCCTGTGGGCCAAATGCGGCCCGTTGTGTCAGTTTGTGTGGCCCTCTGTCGCTGACACAAGTCGCCATTGAGGTACATTCACAGTGTCATCCAGCCAACTTCAGCTCCATCAGTATAGTCACGCTATACCCCGTTGTAACAATTGGAATCCATGCGTTAATAATTTTATCAGGGGTCTCCAACCTGTAGCTCTGGAGCCACCTGTAGCTCGCCACCTCCTTCCAGGTAGCTCGCCAAAGGATTGATGAATGAACCAATATTTCAGATTGTATTATTCATTATCATTATTTGTTATTGTAAATGCATTAACTTTGTGCACTAGTTACACATATGCAGTGATAAATAAGGAATTTGCCCAATATCGGACATTTTTCCAAGGGCTTAAAGGAGTAGCTCTCTGCCTTTATCGTCCCGGGAAAGTAGCTCTCTGGGTGATAAAGGTTGGAGACACCTGAATTATATATATACTGTATACTGGCCGCTAATGTAGCCGTGGTGTGAATCAATAAGGACACAGATATGAACCGAGTCCGACCAGTTTTAAAATCTATTTTGACAAGTCTGGAGAACTTAAACTAAAGTGGTCCTGACTAAAACCTTCAGACACATCTGAGTTTGCAGACAGAGGGAAACCATTTCTACCATTTTTACTCTCGGTACTTGTTTAACCATATCTGTTTAAATATCATTTCACATTCTCTTAAGTAAGAATGTAATGTTTATTTATACAGCGCATTTTACAGACCAAGGTCACCCAAAGCGCTTTATAATGTTTAGAAACCAGATATTCTAAAATATCTCATTTACTGAAAACTTAAAACTGGGACAAGAGAGAGAACATTGTCGACCGATACCATTTCCTGATTGGTCAAAATTAATTCCAATCCTTGACTGACAGGGAAGCTCTCTCCCCATTGGTCGAAGTTGTAGTCTTACTGGAGATGGTAATGTCAAGCATCAACACTGTATTAAAACAAGAGAAACATACTCCCTTTACATCAGGGGTCTCCAATCTCTGGCTTGGGAGATACCAGTAGCTTGCCACTCTCTTTCCGGTAGCTCCCCAAAGCATTCAAGAATATAACAAATTATATTGAATGATTCACTTTTGAGTCATTACCTATCTATTTTAACAATACATCTTTTCATGTATAGTATGCATGTGTTCTCCAGGATTGGTTATTATTAAGACTGCTAAAAAGAGTTGCTCTCGGCCATTTCTGTTTAATAAAGTAGCTCTCTAATTCAAAAAGGTTGGAGACCCCTGTTTCACATGATGATGAAAAAGATTGATAACATCCGTGTTTACAGAGAACACGAGGGTCCAGTCCAAACACACACTTTCTGACGTCTTTCTGTCTTTACACATGGATTAAATCGTTTTCAACACTCATTAAACCAGGCATCCCCATTGATCCCTATACAATAACATGTCAGAAGGTCTTTCAGCCGAGGGTCCACACAGGCCGTCGATAATTGTGCTTTTTAATTGTATTGCCGTGAATTTGTTTTTGCTTTTCATGTTTTAGTCTTTCATGTGACTCCTGGGGGCCGCTGTACCATTGTAAAAGATCAAAAACGGCCCAATCTGCCAAGGATCATTTTAAGCTGAGGGGACGGGAAAAATTCTGGATGGGAATGTCTGAAGCAGAGGGGATTAGCGAGGAAAAGTTGGCAATAAAAAGAACGATTCTACACAAAATCTGATTGGGCGATTCGGGAAACGTAACCAGCTCCTCTGTTCAAACTCTTGTAAATAGATCGGAAAGATTACAGAAATATA